CACACACACACACACACACACACACAGTGTGTGTGTGTGTGAGTGCATGCACGTTTATATACAGTAAACAATAAACTGAACACAACTGGCCAGGTTGACTGTGCATGGATGTGTACACAGCCTGGCTTCTAAGTCTGACATTTCTCTACACTAGAACAAGTGTGGAAATCTTGCTTAATGAAGAACTAATAAGCAGTATCAACCATGCAAAAGTCCAAAGGAAGAATCTTAGCACATATTTAAAGACTTTTTAAGGAACAAAAAATCCTGTGTCAAAAGAAAGATGAGACACTAATTCTCAGCTTTTACTCCAGACAGATGCTAACAGCTCCTGTGTCAACAATAAGCAAAATTTGCTTGTGGGAGGGAGGGAAGGAGGGAAGGAAGCAAGGAAGGAAGGAAGGAATCCCATTTCAACAATTGACACAAGATGGAATTTACTTATTTTGTCATTTGCTATTTAGCATACATAAACAATAAAATCAAATACAGGACTTCTTTTGTAGTGCTTCCTTGCTGAGTCGCCCATGGGAGATTTTTCACTTCCCAGAGAGGACCCAGCTAAGAGGCTTCTCAAGGATCTGAGAGGCAGGGACTCTGTTCTTTGGAATGGTGCCAGATGCTCCTTTAGACATTTAGGATACAAGTACTGGGCAAACATCTTGGAACCCTTGACATTCAAAGGGTTTGGGATGCAGAATTGCAGTCTTAGCATGACTCAGATGCAATTTAAGATGTGATTTACTTTTTTTTTTTTTTGGTACATATTGTGTTTTGAGACATTACAAATCCTAGAGAGGGGCGACTGAATATTGTTTTTAAACTGGAACTGAAGCCGGAGACTAAACCAAAAGCTTCAACTCACAAGCAACCCTATTAAGCTCCAAAGACAGCTTCTTTGGAGAAGCAGCTATGGTAGAAGACTTCAACCAGATGGGACATATACCATCTACAAGAGCAGCATTCACCCTTCTCAGATTTAAGACCCATGATTAGTTTCAGCTGGTAACAGGAAAACTTCCATTATTTTTTGGTAATTACAGATATCTTCTTCTGTCTCTTTTTCTGGAGAGGACAGATGCAAGGAGAGTAGAAGACACCCCAACATTTATCTGTTGGGTAGTGGAAGGCATGAGGAGACATTACTGACCTGCCCAAGTTCTTCATTGAGGTCAGAGGTGTTTACCAATGCCCCTTCCTGGAGATCTTCATCATACATCTCTCTGTCCCATGAAATGAAGAAGGAGCCCAGAAATTTCTGCATCTCGACAGTCACATACATGGAGACTGGGATAATGAAGTTGAACAGGACCATGAAGGACAGGAAATCGGTGAACATTTTTAGCAGCTGAAAAGAACACACACACACACAGAGAAAGATACACCAAGTCACCCATACATGGAATAAATCTGATTGCATACAACCATCAACCAATGAAAGCCAACCAATCTACCTTGAACGTTTCTCTGTCCTTTTGGGTTTTGGTGTTGTACCAGGGTTCATCATTATATGGGACATTCTGCCAGAGGTATTTCAAAGTAGTGCACACTATAGCCTTGCTCAAGAGAATGCATAAGTAGACAATCAGGAACATATTGATTGACCTGGAAAGTCACAAGATCCAAGAGTTGGGGCTATACTTTGGGTTTCACAAAGAATACACACAACTGAATGAGAGAACCTGCCCTTGTGATGTTAAAACACTGGCTTAACAGGTGTCGGACCTAAACCAACACCTTGCTGAAATCCAGGCCAATATGTCTATCGTATTATCTCAGAGTGCAAAGAGGGGGAGGCTGAATCCCAAAATATGCTGCATTAACTAATCCCACATGTGATCTCATTAATCAGCTGGTTATCTGAAAAGGGTTTCCCAGCTCAGAACTTTGACCATTAAGTTGATCCAGTTTGTTTCTGTAGACCAAGGGTGGGGAATCTATGACTCTCCATGGGCTGAAGGCTCC